GTTCATGACCAGGGTTAGAGGTGGGGCGGCGGCAGCACGGCAGTTTGGGGGAGGGCAGAGCAGCGCAACGTGGGAGCACGCCGGTTGCAGGCGATGGTAGCAGGCGGTTAGGCCTGCGATGGCTTGGCAGTTAGAGGTGTGGAAGAGGGCTGTCTGGACATTGAAGACACGCATCTGGAGATTGAAGACACCCATCTAGCATTTATTTTCTTTCGAATGGCTAGAAACCAATCAACCGACCCAAATTAAAAAAAAATTGTGTCAATCAATTGGTTTAAGATTTGGAAGGGCAAAGGGAGGGTTTACAATTTGGAATGTCGACATATTTAATTTGCGCCTCCCTGAAATGACTCGAAATTTGGAATCCCGAAATTATTCTGTAATTTCCCTGAATAAAGTCTATCTTTTTGTGACAAAATTGTGCACCTAGTCTTATTTTTTAAACGTGGGTTTGAACTAGTAGTATACATGGCATATGAGATGGTTTAAAGAGGTAAAAACGAGCTGAATCGATTACCTTTTTCTGCGGGGATGATGAATTCATCACCGCAGATTAAGGGGCCGTCAGACATGCCGCTGGGACATTGGCAATCGAAGATGTCGTAGGTGGTGTTGATCCGGCAAAGCCCACCGGTGTCCCTGCACGCTGTGCACTCGCCGGCCGTGTACTCGAGACGAAACCCGCGCTCCATCAGCTTGTGGTAGTTCGCCGCGGTCGCCCCCGGGTACCCCATCACCGGCGCCATCATCGACACCGAGCAGTTCCCCGGCACCAGCGGCCATTTGTCGTCGAGCTTGTAACCCCCGGCAAGCCACGCGAACGAGTTGCTGTCGTAGTTCAAGGGCGCCCATTGCGTAGGTGGCTGCTGCGCCGCCTGCAGGTCGATGCAGTCGTACAGGAAGAAGAGCTCCCGGTTGGCGGCGCTGATGCTGAAGGGCGCGAGGCCAAGGTCGGAGGAGACGTTGACTTGGAGCTTGGCGTCGCAGGTGCTGTGTGAGAGCTCGACGTTGGTGACCCGGAACGAGCTGTCCTCATAGGAGATGTCCAGGATCTTGTACGTCCAGATGGAGTTCTTGAGGGAGGCCGTGCCGTTGCTGTGGCAGCTGACCTGGAAGGCCCGGTAGCCGCACTCTGGCGGGTGCGTGCCGCCGAGCCAGAACGGGTACTCGATGCGCAGGCCCCCGCACGTCGCCGGCTCGCACGACGACGGCGACGGCGTGGCGTTTGTGGCGTGTGTGGCAAGGACGCCAGCAGTTAGCAGCAGTATGGCTGAGCAGAGCACGCCGGCGGGCGCCGGGACACGAAATGGAGTCATTGGTCTTGCTGCGACCGAAGGGAGAAGGGAGGCCACCGGCTACGCTACGTGGTGCTCCCGAAGGCGCAGAGAGGGAGGCGTGCAGTGAAGAGCGGCAGTTGATGTGATGATGAGGATTGAGAAGTTGAGAAGGAGAAGAAGCACCGGGACATTCATGCAGCCATGGTTGCCGGCTGTGTTGACGATTCGTGGTCACGGAGTTTGACTGAAGTGGACACCACCACCTCGCCGGCGAGTGGCCGAGTGGGAGCTCACCCGCCACGTGGGTCCTCACGGCGGCGCTGGCCCGGTTGCCAGTGGCCGGAGGAAGGTCGTCGGTCCGGGTCTGGGTTTGAACGCGTCCTTACCTACTACTATACACGGGAAAACAACTTTTTTTTCTTCTTCTTCTACCCTTTTCCGCAAGCAAGCAAAGTAAAACAGCCGCGTGCTCTGGTCGTTACCGTATCCTTTTTTTCAAGGAAAGACCATCATGGCAAGCTTTATTACGAATTAAAACAGGATTACATCATCCAAGAGTTTGGTAATAACACATTCTGGAGGGTCGTTACCGTATCCTTGTCCTGTGGCTGTGTGCGAATAATGCATACAGTGACGGCTTTTTTTTCTCATACGCGCTGTAATAATTTGTTGGAAACGAGTGCTTGCATGTTAAGCATCGATGCCACAAAAAGAGAGAGCAAGTTAAGCCTCTGTATGCGTACGTAGACTTGACTCAGGAGGAGTCCTCCCCCTCCGTATCGGACAAGACGCGTTACGCCTGCATGCATGCATCGACGTGGGACCTATCCGACCAAATCAGTGCATGGTTCTACCATCTACTCCTAGAGCGCCACCACACGGGGCGGCGCCACGGCGTTCCAGCCGCCGTCGCCGGCACGGCATGGTTGACTACGAGTGAAGGAACGAAGATGATAAAGCAGGGAGCTAGCCTTTGTCTTCACCATGTTCTCGGTCTCTTTCTCGTGTTTCTCCGCACGTTGATGATCTAGACACCTTCCGACTTTAATATCTTGATGAGCGCTGCTCTCGTCAAGCATGCTAGTAGTCGGTTCCTTTTTCTTCTCCACCCTCAAGATCCAGGTCTATCGCTACGACCGCCATGGTTCATTGCCATCGCCGGAGGAGGTTAGGATGATCAAGGGTGGTGTTCAATCTAGGGTTTCTGCATTTCTTATGTTTATTTTTTGGTCGAAGCTCGTTAAGTTTTTATTCAAAGGCCTGTATAGTTAGTTGAAAGTTTTAGTGTTTTCGGCAGAGATCTCGTGGAGCAACAATTGAAAGCTTAATCTTTTTGTTTCTTAAAATGCTTATAAGTAATAGTGGTGCTTTGAGGATTGTTTGTTGAAAGTTTGATGAATGTTAGTGTTGGACTAAATCCAATTAACTAATAACGGTTCACTCGCTTTTCTTTTGTAAGGGATGTTCTTTTCTTGGCTATGGCCTCAACATTTCCCGCGAGAAACAAGGCTATGGTTCAGTAGTGCCATCATTGGCAACAAACCCACAATATATATGTTCTCACTAAACACTGAGTGGTCACAACCGGCTATGAAGTACATGTCGGAAAACATGAAAGTTGAGGCAGTTGTCTATTGAATATCCACCCAAAAGTAAAAGCGAATGCTTGGGCAAAACAAGGGAGGCTGTCGAAAGTGATTGATGCTACGGTTTACTGCAAAGGACGCTGGTACACACACGACAAGATCTGAACGATTTTCAGACGATGCAGTAGATCACACCGTTCATGCATAGAGCAATAACTGGATATAGCACCGTTAATAATTCCACCGTCCACAGTTTGTGCGGTTAGCTGCTGTCCACATAGTAGTTTTCTATCGCAAATTACCAGTCACCCCACGTCGGGGCGGTGCTGGAGTACATTCCAGTAATGCTACACATACAAACAAGTTACAGGATTATACAAAGAGGGTTAACTTGATTGGTCAATAGGTGAGGGAGGTGGCCCACCCTCCTGAAAATCAAGGAGGGGGGGTCAAGTTTGTGATTGGTTAGGAGATGAAAAGAGCCTGTAAAATCATGTATTTATTTGTAGGTCTAGCATTTTTGGAGTACATTCATAGCAACTTGTTTCTTTGAGTTTAGGCTAATGTTGGTGTCCTTTGTCTCAGGCCACCAGCACTACTGCACTAGTACATATGGTCTAACTTTTTAAAACCTTTTTTGGGTGCGTACCAGAGCTAGTTTGAAGTTTGAACTAAAGTGGCAGACTTTGAAAAAAATCGTTCTCTCTCTCTCTCTCTCTAAAAATGATTTAGTACGGGAAATGGGACTGCCAAACAATAATGCTATAGGGTAACAGAAAAGGTGCAGAGAACAATCTCAGCTGATTGAACGAATAAGGCTAATCCTAACTAGTTGCGCGCGCAGCGCATATCTCAGCCGCAGCAGCAACATAGGATCTGAGCCATTTGCATGTGCATGCCCCTCTTTCTCTCCTTTTCATCACCACAGTCTGACACACGCATGCATACAGTGTCCTTCCTCTCTCCTCAAACTTTATTACTTCTAGTTTTCTTCAGACAGTTTAGATGATTCATATCTTTATAATCATAATTTTATTTCTGGAACTTTTAATATATTTGAACTATTGACATTAAGATCTTTAGAACAAGATCAGTCTTGGATAGTTTTTAAACACATTTTTGTTAACTAAAAGTCTAAAACTGAAATATGATTGTTTAGTAGGTTATCAGTGTTTTTACTGACGAACTTTGCTGAAAACAGTGAAGAACTTCTCATTTTTATTGTAACGTGCAAAATAAACAGAATCAGAAGGTGAAGAACTTTTTAAACTGTGGGTTTGCACTTTGTTAGAAATATTAAAGAACTTTGCTAGAAAATGTATTTGAAACAAAAGAACTTTATAAACAGCTTGCCTGAACATTTTTGTGAGGTACATGAAACTTGTTTGAGCCACAGACAATCTAAGTTTATCGAACTTGATGAAAATTTTCAAACTAGTTCAAATATATTCAACATCGGTCTTGTTCTAAAGGTCTTTGCATCAGAAGTTCAAATATGTAAAAAATAATAAAGATGAAATATTGGTTTAGAAGGTATAAATTATTTAAGTTTACAAAGAGGTAATAAAATAATGGGTTTGTTTGGGAGAGAGAAGAGAGAGGTACAAGCACTGTTGATTTGACATGCATGTAGGACAGCTGATTTGACTTGCATGCAAGATGGATGGACTGGATATGGGCTGTGCACGTAATGGGTTAGACAAAATCCACACTCCTGATTGAAGGCGATCGAAACAATGTTGCGTACCTGAAGATTTGGGTGTGGCCCATGCAGCAGGAGTCGTTGCAGTTCTAAAGCACGTGAAAGTCCATGCGTCTCGCGCCGCCTGCCGACGGTGACCGCACAGGCCGCCGGATTTCTCGCAGCCGCCGCACTCCCCGCTCGCCTCCGGCCTCCAGCTCAGCTCGAACCCCATGTTCAGCGCCGGTATGACGGCGTCCAGCGGGCCGCTGGCTGCTGTCCCCGTCCTGCCGAGCAGGGACCTCCTGAGCACCGGCATCCCCACCACGTCCTGGCACAGCCCGGCGTAGCTGTACGGCGTTAGGTCGTCGCCGTCCCGGAAGACGTACGAGTGGTGCCGGCCGTCGCCCTCCAGGCACGCCACCTGGTGCGCCGGGATGCCGATGAAGGAACAGTGGATGAAGAAGGTGAGGTTGGCGTCCCTGGCCGTGAGCGACAGCGGCGAGCCGTCCGGGAGCGTGAGGTTGCGGCCGACGAGCGGGCACGTGTTGGACCGGGAGAAGACGCCCAGGTCGAACAGGGACACCGTGCGGTCGCCGTAGAGGATGTGCGTCACCGCGTAGTCGCCCGACGGGAGCCGCAGGACCGGCGTGTCGCGCCGGCACTCCAGCCGGAGGCTCGGGTACCCACAGTGGTGGGAGCCGTTCAATGTGCCGTTCCCGCCGTCGATCCAAAACGGGTACCGGATGTCCACGGCGTGGCCGCAGCGGTACAACGGGCAGGCGGACGTGGTGCCGGTGGTGTTGTTGTTTGGATTTGGGACTCTCTCCGTGGCCGCGACGCCGGCGGCGACGACGATGCTAGACATGAAGAGGAAAAGGTGGAGAGGACAGGTAACTGGGAGCGTCGCCGTCGCCATTGTTGCACTCTGCTCACGTATGGCTTTGGCTTTGCCTCTGCGACATGAGATTCCATCAATTCTTGTTGAACCAGCAACCGGGAGTAAGATCATGCGTAATTGACTGTTACCATTTCGCGCGGGCAACTCCATTTCATCCAAGATGTGTGACGACGAACTGAAGAGAGAGATGTGTGAAGATATTTGCTGAAATCCTGCCAACGTACAAATTCCATATACCCCCGTTCTTTTATATAAGGTGTATTTTTTTTAAGTCAAACGAGTTCAAGTTTGACCGAGTTTTTAGGAAAATATATCAGCATTCACAATACGAAATTTATATCATTTGATCCATTCATGAAAAATAGTTTCATATTTTATCTACTAGATATTGCAGATGTTGTTATTTTATCTTTTTTTTTTGAAATGAGATGGGTTTCCCCTGCCACAACCTTTTATTGAAAAAGCTAAGGCTACAGCGGTTCAGACTACTACAGTTCAAAGGACACGGCTTGTAGTTTAAAGCTAATTGCAACAGCCCTACTTATTACAACCGCCAAAGGCAGCAAAAGACCACACCCAGTTCAAAGCTACAACAATAGGAGATCCTACACTATAGCTTCAGGAGGGTATGTAGGACTAATTTCCACGCGATCCTAAGCAATTCTCCTCACCGATGATCGAGAAGTCTTAGGCACTCGAGGAGCAGTGTAGCTTGAGCATCCGTACCTCCAAATGTTGGGCATTGCATCATTGGCAATTCAAATGGGGTTTTGGAACAAAGTACATGCAATGCTACAAATCCAGATTCAGAACATATAGAAGA